CGACATTATACTTTCCAACTATACCTATTACCTGTATAAAATATATTGAATCCACAGTTAGTTAAAGTGGACAGTCTATTGAGTTAATCATAGAACCTTTACCATTTTGATAAGCAATACTAGCCTGTGTAACGATCCCACAACATAATAACTTTACCGCTTGAGTTATTATTCGATTAAATTAGTAGATTAAATTAGTAGCGAGGCTTTGTTCGCGACGCGTGCTATATTTCTGCGACACGATTCAGTTCCTATGCATTCAAACCGAAATCCTACGGCTATCCTATCGGATATGCTGTTCCTGAAAGTTATCTGATTTTTGTCACAATCACTACATTTTTGTCAAGAATCTTACAATTTTAACCCTAACCTGCAGTTACCCTTTTCTGGGATATACTGCTGGGATATACTATAGTTATCCGATTGCGTTGAAGCCGCTATATTTTCTGTCCCATACTTTTTTCAAATCTACCCCACTAGCTGGGCTCACGCGCGTCGCTATCGCCTTGGCTCGTAACAACGCATTCACGTTACTCCATAAATCGTGTCCTACTTTGTGAAGGGTCCCTATGAAAGGAACACATCGACCGCAGTATCGATCGCACTCTTTCCGATCGCATATACGGGTACACATTCCAACGTCTCGAGTTCAACTGCATTCGAGCGGTTTGAATAATCAGAAAAAAACAAGTTGATCATGTGAGTATTTCAAATAGATCAACTACATTGAAAATTTTGAGAGAACTCTGATAATGAGTATTTGAGTAAACTGTTATTTCGTTATTTATTAAACGGGTAAAAAATCGTTATTGTGCACAAGATATTGTACTGCAAACCAATGAAACCAATCTTTATAAATTTAGCTGATGAAATTGTAATGGATTCTAATAGTCGTACAAATTGAGTCATTTTCTGTATACGCTCAGTGTTAATTAATTCATGGTCGCATAAATTAATAAAAAATAATTTTAAACAATGAAAGGTTTCATCCCGATTGGTCAAACCATCTCGGCGTAATCGGTGAACAAACATTTAAAAAAGGCAAAAACATATACATGTCAAATTGAGCAGCCTCCTCCTCTTCAAAGTAGGTTGAAAATATACATGTTTAATTGAAAAAATGTCCCAAATGAATCGTTATCCGTCATTTGTTTCCTTTACCCATTATTTAAATAAAATGTTGCACATCTCGGCTTATTAGTGAAGTTTCAGTATACAGAAAAAGGATTAAACTGAAAATAAAGATCGATCAAGCCCGCTAGTGGGTAACAAGTAGCGTTATCTAACTAAAAGGAAACAGGTCGAGGGGAGGTGGATGATAAAAGGTACGTCATGTAACAGCTGTAAAAACTGCCTGCCAGAATTAATTGAATCGGTATATGGGAAATCGTGCTCTGAATTAGGTCAAGCCGTGCTGCCACAAGAGGTGAACAAACTGTTCTTTTTTGATCTTAGTGGGCAGATACGTGAATGGAGAAGGCAACAGTGACTGTGTTCGATGCATGGATAGGTCAACAAATCCTGATCAGAGAAACGGAGCCAGCACGAACGTTATATTATATAACATTCAGCGAACTCAACGTGTAATGATTAAGTAACGGTAACTTTAATGGTTAAAGTGTCTGCTTTACACGTAATGACTTCTAATTCGTGTATAAAGACAGTCTGTACACAGCTGCTATAAGTGTCCTTGTAACAGTTGAATCGTGGGCAGATGCATAGGAACATATCGATTTAACTATCATGAAAAAAATATTTTCTTGATGTGTTTTAGAATAAGGATTCTTAGTAACCAATAATTTTTCATGATAATTTAAAGAAAACTGATTTACTAAATAACATCATAGTATTAAGAGTAATTTTGTAGAAAAGACGCGTTCGGTGACAGCTCACCGATCAATGACGACATATAATGTTTGATAAGTCACAGGTAATTATTGCGCGAAATACCTTTACAAAACTGTGTATATTGCTTTTCGTCGTGATTTGTATTTGGAGTATTTATTCACTTAATTTAAATTCCAATTCTAATATAAATAGACTAATAAAAAACATTATTATATTATTATATTATTATATTATTATATCATTATATCATTATATCATTATATCATTATATCATTATATTATTATATCATTATATCATTATATCATTATATCATTATATCATTATATCATTATATTATTATATCATTATATTATTATATTATTATATTAAAGTTATAGTTCCTTTATAATATTGCTAAAATGTTTCTGAAATATTTTCAACGGAATATTGCAAGACATATCACTCAAGTATTGCTAGAATGTTTGAAAAATATTATCAATGGGTAACTGGGTAGATGCTATAATATTGCAAATACAGTAGCAACATTGCAGCAGTGTTCCTCCAATAATCGCAATTAAGATTACTCTGATAATTCAGACTACGCGATAATAATAATACAAACGCCAGAGAACATGAATCTTTTAATGAATAATTCAATTAAACGAAAAACGATTTTTACAGAATATTCCATATTACTGCGATTACATGACTCCAGAATTGTAACATAATTGTACGCTCCCAGACAAAAAGATAGCACACCTGTGCTATCTTTAATATCTTGTGTTAAGATTATGCTAACGTGGAAACTCTGAGTTATATGTAGAATGTACCTTCTACGAATATGTAAACATAACATACACTGATGCAAACAATTAGGGGGACACTTTTTCAAACCGTCGTAACTATGGAAGTTTTCAACCGATTGAAATGAAACTGCGTGAGGAGTACTTTTCAAGTGTCTGGACTCCAATTTAACATGGTCTGACCACGTACGGCTGCAGGCCCTCGCTCCACTTTTGCATGCCGGCTACGCCCGGCCCACTTACTATTCTTCCAAATTTGCTCCGATTTGACAACGAAAGCGTGATTAAAAAATCTGATTTTTTGGGCATCGGTTAATAAAGCATTCGCCCGTCCGAATCCATGAACGACGTTGACGTGGCGTTACTCGTTCACCCTGCAGATGGGCTTGAAGTTGGAAGCGAGTTTTAAAAAAAAAATCGACATTTTCGTATTTTATTGCCATTCACGCGGGAAAAAGAAACATCAAAACTGTGTCATCCCGATGCCCTGGACTGTTGGACATGTAATCCACGCAACGAAACAACCTTCCAACCCTTACACTTGGGGGTGAACCACCCCTACCTCCTTCCCCCTTCAGCTCTGGGGGCAGTTTTCGAAACGGGACCTTTTCGGCATTCATCCTTAACATATAGAGAACAAACATGGTGAATTTCATTGTTCTCCGATGTGTAGAAGTGCTCCGTTACGAAGGGGGTTGAAAATTTGCGAACTGTTCCACCCCCCCCCTCCCAAAGGGTGTCTATGGGGTGCACGGTATGAGTGATAGCATTTTCTGGATCAGGGGAGTCCAAAGAATGCATTGAGCCCAAAATCGAGACTGTCGTCCAAAAATTGTGGATTTTAGGAGGGGTAGTGTGGGGTGGGTTTGTTCGAGTGGGATTTCAAGGAGTGCCTTTTGTAGAGGACATCAAGGAGAGCCGCCCCAAATGTTTTTTTGAATTTTTCAACCCCTTCCGTCATCCCTGGCCTGTTTTTCTACACCCTCCCCTTTAGGGGGGTGAATTAACGCCTTCGCATCAACCCTCGCCAATGCAACTTTACGCACGGCTAGGGGACACTTGAAAAGTACTCCTCACGCAGTTTCATTTCAATCGGTTGAAAACTCCCATAGTTACGACGGTTTGAACAAGTGTCCCCCTAATTGTTTGCATCAGTGTAGATTGACTTTACTTCAATGAGTTCTCTTAGTTCAAAGAGAAATACATAATCCGACGCAGACAAAATGATAGCACACTTGAACTAGGTTTACGTATTCTTCAGTGTTCCGTGAATTTGCATGGAATTATTACGTTCAATTTCTAGAGCTTTGTCATATCGCTATCCTCGTAGTGGGTCGTGACAAAAAGCTTAGTGAAAGTGACATTAGTGTAATATTAGCTCTGCGGAAACAAAAGTTATCCATTACTGGGCAATGTTTTTGCAAACAGTGTATGCTGAAGGCCGACGATTTTCAAATATAAATGAATTAAAAACTTGCGTTGCAACCGAATGGGAAAATTTAACACAAATAAAAATTAAACAACTATATATGTAATTCTTTACCTTATAGGATGGTGGAAATTATAGAAAACAAAGAGGATTCTACGCATTATTAGAAAATATAGTTTTGTATATATTGTTGCGGCGGGGGGTGGTGCTGCATCGAGGAGTAGTCATTTGAAATAACTAACACGTCTTTTATTAAAGGAACAACAACTCAAAACGTTTATTAACTTTAACAATAACTCGTTTAGTAAACATGTCTGTACGACAGTAAGACTCGCGACGTTGTTCTATTCGAAAGTTGCCGGTTCACTTGGAAACCGGAACATCCCGATGATCCGCTTCTGCTCGCTCTTCGGAACACACTTCACAACGTCGCAGCAACTTCCGTAATATTGCGGCATCTTCACGCCGCCGCAACAATATATTATTATAAGAAATATGTATACTTTTGTTGTGGTAGTGGTGTTATATGAAATATATATCTTTATTTTTCAAGTGTGCTATCATTTTGTCTGAGTTGAAATATGTGCTTCTCTTCGAATTAAGAGAAATCATTGAAGTAAAGTCAATCTATGTTATGTTTACATATTCGGAGAAGGTACGTTTTACATATAACTTAGAATTTTCACGGTAGCATAATCTTAACACGAGATATTAAATTTTGTCTGTGAGTGTAGCAACAATCATGTCCCGAATGAAATACATCGTTCAAAAGACAAAAGCAAAATTCGTTGGAAGAGGAACGATCGATCGATGCCAGTGAGCCATTGGTATGCGCGATCGAGCGAGGATCGAGCAACGTATTTCTTTGCGGCTGGCCGTCACGTTGAATCAAGGAAATACGCGGGGATCCGATCGTAGGAATTTCAAAAGCATGACTCACCGTCAGGATTGGTGAAGTAGCCCCAGGTGGGGGTCGCCGTAGCCGCCGATTGGAGGACTACGGCCAGAACACTGAGGGCCAGAGCACCGGCGGCGCTTCGCGCCGCGACGGCGCGCTTTTCGCTTCGCTGCGGATCGGTAGTCGTCGTGGCGACCGCCCTTACGTCTTGACGGTTGCTCGAATCGGTTGCCATTCTTCATGCCGTTCTCGTGTCTCGTCGATCTCGTGTGCCACGCAACCAATCGTTTATTCGACCTCTTCTTAAACTTCTTTGACTCTTCTCACTTCATTTGCTTCGGTCCTCTTCCGTTAATTCACCTAATCACTCTCCCAACGTCTCTGCGTAGCCGCTTCATGGATCGAATTCGTTGCGAAACTGCGGCTACGATCATCTATCGGTATCTTTACGTGTATCAAGGTCGACTAATTACGTCGAGCGACGGGCACATCGCGTCGTCGAACCGCTCGATGATCGAATCTCACGCACTCCACGATGTCACGTACCGCTTCGTGTATGGATAGGCGCGTGCATGCATGCAATCGATAGTTCGAGGTGGGAGAGAATGTAGAAGAGAAGAGGAGAGGTGTACATCGGGCTTAGGCGAATTCCACGTTCCTCGAGTCTCACTCTTTGTTTCCTTCTTTCGCGAACGAAGGACGGAGAATGACCGAAGACCATACTCCACCTTTATATCGCGTGTCTCTCCCTCTCGTTTCCTCACTTTTCACCTAAAATCCTTCTGGCGTGTACAGGGCGATTCTAGAAAGTGGGACAGACTGTCGTTCTTCTATCAGAGAAGATAGAAAACGTTGATACAGGAAAGGAGTTGAATCCTGCGATGGTTATTTAGTATGTAATTTGTTCTTAGTTTTGAGTAACCAAATATGATTAGTCTGCATATTGTGCTTTTGTAAATAACGACCTTGTTATGTCACTTAACTTAACCCTTTTAGTACTGAATAAAAGGATCGTAAGTAAACGAAAGATGCCGAAACAAATTGATGTAATTTAGCAAGGTTTAAGAAAGGAAAGTATAAACATAAAAGTAAGAATAATATTTATCAAATTCACAAAGGAACATATTTCGAAATAAAGAGAAGATAAGTTAACATCAAATTTATGTAAATATTTATTGATAATCGTACGAATATTGCGTATTCGAAATCAATAGGAAAATAGTAAAGAAATCAGTTATTTTCTATAAACATATTTACGAATAAAAAGAGGTTGACGCGTAGTATGTCGCCTAAACAATATATTTTTAATTTTTTGTAATTAAATTGGGTGCTAGTATAACGTTACCAACAAAATATTCTATTAAAGTATTATTGTAAATCTTATCGATCTAATGTATATCCTTATAATGTACGCTGCTGTAGTGTAGCCTTGGTATTAATCATCGCGTACTATGAGAAAAAGTTGAACTCGTAAAAAATTCTCAATTCGTTGAACATTTCAATTTCACATGCTGAAGAAAAATTCAATCATTTTTAACGATTTAAAAATATAATTTAAGACAGAGTTTTCGTTCAACGCGATTAGGCACTATCGTATACAAAACGATATATCGTTATTCGGCATTAAAAACGAAGACACAAGCAGTGACCACTACATAAATATGTCAAATGATGCCAAATGGTCAACAGAACTTTAATAAAAAAAAATGATAAATGTTTATAAGTACGTTAGAATGATTCCTAACCTGCATTAACGGTTTTAACATGTTTAAACTCAGCATCAAAGTTCTCTCGGAAAAGCACATCTTCCATCATATTTCGATTACTATAGAGAATATGAATTTGCGTGAATATTATTCTTATTAACAGTATTATTCAAAATTGTAAAAATAGATATGACACTACATATAAAAACTGCGGAGACATGCTCTGCTGCTTCCCTTGAAATATCTCATATACATCCCATAAAAGGGTTCGTCAATCTTTAAATCCTTAAAATATTAAACACAATTTTATTGGCATCGCCAATGATTACTAAGAAAACAATTTGTAACCGTTTTAACTAAAGAGTCAAAAAGAAATACAGTGGGTGTAGAATGTATTCGTTCACCGATCAATTTCCCAAAAAACTTCTGTGTGAAATTGTAGTTTCTTAATTTCTTTTTTTATAATCAATGATATTTTACATATTCTCAGAAGTCTCTAAGATAGATATAGTCCAAACAACATTTACTAATTAGTATAATTTGTGAAATTAACAAAAAAATGCGAAAAGTGGGTAAAAGTATAGAAGCAATAAGTGTTTGTACGATTCTTATGACGAAAACCATTTACAGTAGAGTTTGTAACGTAAATACATTAGTTTATTGGTCCGTACGAATTATAAAACATCAAATTTCCAAAGTAAAGTACTTTTAAAAATGGCTCTAATGGAGGAATTGAAGAAGATCCCACTTCGAATAACTAATAACTTAGTTAATTTAATGCTTAGAAGAGTTACATTAATTATAAAATCAAAAGGAAATCCCAGAAAGGAAGTATTAGGTTGTCCCAAAAGATCCTTTCGTAATCTGCACTCAATTATTTTGTGTGGCAGTGTTTATATAAATAGACAATCTAATTTCTTAGATATTGATGTTGTAATAGTAATGGAGCAAAATGAATCGTACACAATTTAATAATGTAACATTAGACATAAAATATTATGTATATATTACTTTTTAATAAAACGAAAGAAACTTTTGGGACAACCTAATATTATATACTTGAAAATTAATGTAAATTTCTTTTTTTTTCAATCAAGTTTTAAAAATTAAACAGTTGTGCGAATAACTTATTGCTTTAACATTTCTATCGATTAATTGTTTTTTTCTTGTTAATTTCGCAACTTACATAAATAGCTATTTTTTTTTTTTGTAACCTATCTATTCTAGAGATTTCCGAGTATATGTAGAATGTTAGTGTTTATAAAAAACAAGTTAATAAATTACAATGTTACACAGTTTTTTTGGAAATTGATCGGTGTACGAATATTTTCTACACCCATCCTTTATATTTTTCCGATGAAACATTCCCATAACATGAAGGAAAAGAAAAAGGTCCACACAGATGCATATATACGCTCATCCATACATATGTAATGTTTTCACTGGTTAACGAAACTAAACATTTGGAATAAAAGTGAACACAGGGAATTTGTAACTGATTGTTTTTGTATTTTTAGACTCGTCTCGGAAGTCCTAGAAAGGTTCAAATTTTGTCGTATAGCAATATAATGTTTTAACTGGTAAAATAAATAATAGGAAAAATTGTAATAATTACTAGACTGCGGATCTTTATGCAAAATAAAATCTTTGCAAACGTACCTACAAAAACTAAACCTAAATCGGAATTTATTTTACTCTGCAAGTATTATAACATAAACTTTACTTTTAATATTTTTTATATTCTTGCATATTGTTTGCATTTTGTAGGTTTTTGCACATTCAAATTTCCTATAAATGCATAAATATCCGCAGTCTAATAATTACTCTTATATATATTTGCAACTAATTTGAATAAAAAGTTGAATTCCTGAAGCAGTGTATGTACCCGATACTTTTTACAACTTGAGCATTTGAAATAATCTTATCCACGCTCAAATATACCCCAGCACGGTAGTTACAAAGCTCAAGAAACAGTGAACATCGCAAGAGTCAACTTCTTCTTGTATCAATGTTCTTTTTTTACGTTAGTTTAAAAGAGGCAGCTTGTTCCAATTTCTAAAATCACCCTGTATACGGGCCTTACCTCGTGGCTCGGGCCCCGAGACTCGGAAACCGGTTTTTGCGATGCGCGAAGCGACGTTGGCTAAAAATAAAAGCGCCTCGGATTCTCTCTCCTGCGCTGCTCTATCCGACTCCCGCAATTTTCCGTCCCGTCGTACGTCGCAGTCGCAATTCTTCCGGGGTGGATCGGCCTCCCTTGAATATATCAAGTTTTCGATCGTCGATCGAACAAATCGCCCGCGGTTCGGTCGATCAACAATCGAGTCCACCACCTGTCATCGCGTTTAGTCGAACCATCAAACTGCCGCGCAAGGATATGAACGACTTGAGGCTGTTCATGCGTTCGATGTCCTTTGGTTCTGTCGAGCAGCGGTAACGTTACTTTCACGGCATCCTCGTCGAACCAGTCGAAACGACGGACGACATTGATCGTGTTTACCAAGGCACGAAGCTCGAGGTGCAGTCTAGGTTAGGTTCGTGCGCGCTGGAAATACGAACCTCTTGTGTTATATCGATCGCTCAAGTATACGCTCGCTTCATTTCGTGCCGCGTCTTTGTTCCATCCGCATCGGGATTCGCCAAAATTTTACTCAAATATACTTTTTCTATATCGATTAATTTGCAGTATATATTATGTTGGACAATTTGGAGTTTGGAATATTCGGAGTTTGTGTCTTCGAGGTGGAACGTCATGTGATCGCATAACTCGAATTGCCAAATGTTTTATTAAAATGGGTCTCTAGTTCGTTGCTTGAAATTTGTTTCATGGACAAGATACGTGACCACTGCGTTTCCAATCTTTCACCGCACCCTGCATACGTCAAAGCATTTCGAAATCCCGAGGAGCATCGAGTTTCCCGCTCTTTCCGCGAGGCGCAAGGTTCGCTCACGTACAGAACCACACGCACCGTGTCACTGTGTCACGAGCTCACGCGCACACGCGCCCGATAACAGGTTCTCCGATCGAATTCGAGCCTACCGGCACTCTTGGTACGCTCGCGCGTGCACTGGAAACGACGCAACGACACTTGAATTTTCCTCGTATTTGCGAGTTTTCCTTACGAGGAGGGAGAAAAAATGTGGACGGAACGACAACGCGCAACGCGTAAACAGCGAAGATATTTGTATTTGCGTATTCCAGCCGCGCTGCCGTGCGTAGGAGACTCCGAAAGAGCGAGGAAGAGGGCAAACGAAAGAAACGAAGGGAGCCGAAAACAGATAGAAACAATACGCGTACGCGAGCCTGCGCGCTGCGCGGCATACTGACGCGACCGGCACCGTCAAGCTGACTCGAACGCTCCTCGCTGTCCCGTGGCTTCTCCTTCCCTCTCGCTCGCACCAATAACCGTTAACTGCGGCCACTACCCAACTCTCTCTCTCTCTGTGTGTGTGTGTGTTTTCATACCGTACAACGTACTTACACCAGTTGCGATTACATTCTTGCAAGGAGATGCAACACCGGCACGCATTTTTCACGGTTGGTTCGGTGATTAACACGTTAAAGCTTTTAGTACGTTGCAATTTGCGTATAAAGGGTGGGGCATTTAAAACAGGCCACCTGAATAATTTGCTTACTTCTAGCGATAGAAAAATAAGTGACGAACAAGAGTTGTTTGATTTCGAGGGACAAGCAACATATGGTATCGATAACTTTTCTATTGGTGGAAGCGTAGAAGAGATACGAAGGTCGACTCTGTTTTTTTTTTTTTTTTTTTTTTTTTATATATATATATATAGAATGATATAGTTTCTTATACACTGATGGACATAACAATACGACACCCCATTTATTTAAAAAAAAAATATGTATAAGCTTATGCATGTAACGTAAATGATGATGAAATTAAAAGAATACTATTCGCGAACTTCATCACAAAGTAAACAAACACAAAGCGTCGAAGCATTTCCAAGAATTGTAATGTTTGGTTTCCTCTGTAGGACAAAATTATAAGACATTAATGTTACTCGACTACAGACAGTCGTTGAATCTAAATGTATTCGTGTGTTTCGTTCTGTGAATTCTCTATTATAGTGATTATGTTAGTATAAAATAAAAAAACATTAAAACTAAAATCATGCCACGTGGTAAAGTTCTAACTGAAGAGGAAAAAATAGAAATTTTTCAAAGAAGAGCAAAAGGAGAGAATTTAAAACAAATGTCACCAAAAATGGAAAGAAGTATGTGTGTAATTCGTAATTTTTTAAATAATCCAAAAAATTACGGAAAAAGTAAGAGATCTGGAAGACAATCATCCCTTACGTTAAGAGATAAAAGAACAGTTTTAAGATGTACATCAAATTCAGCTCTTACACCTAGGCAATTTTTAGTAGAATGTGGATTAAAAGTATCTGTACAGACTGTAAAAAGAGTTATATTAGGTTGTAACATATGAAATGTCCGATTTTTAAGGGTAACTTTCAATGAACACAACTTTTTTTCTAATTAATGTATTTAATCGAAATAAGAACCATTAGATTCTATACATTTTTGCCAACGGATTACAAGTTTTCTGATACCTTTTTGGTAAAAATCCAACGTTCTAGTGTTAATGAACTCTAGGACGGTGTCTTCCATATTCGTCCGATTTCTTAAGGTTTTCTCATTGAGGAAGTTGCTTAGATGTTTAAAAAAATGAAAATCTGTTGGTGACAAATCTGGGAAGTAAGGAGGATGCGGTAACGTTTCACAATTTAAGGCGCGCAGCTTGTGCATCGTCATCTGTGCCACGTGCGGTCGAGCATTGTCATGCAGCAAAATTGGCCCCTTTCGGTTGATGATTACCACTGATTTTTCTCTCAATTTTTCGTGCATTTGATCGATTTCGGTGCAATACTTTTCGCCTGTTATGGTTTGTCCAGCGTTTAAAAAACTATAATGGATTACATCGGCCATTGATCACCAAACCGTGAACATTATCTTTTGTGGGTATAGAACAGGTTTCGGCATATGTCGTGGCTGTTCATCTGCATCTAGCCATTGTGCAGAATGTCGTCTGTTGTCGTATAGATTCCATTTTTCGTCACATGTGACAATGCGATCCAAAAACGGATCATTTTGATTCGAAATCAGTAACGAATTGCATATTTCGTAACGACAAAACTTCTGCCGATTGGTCAATTCGTGCGATACCCATTTATCCAACTTCTTTTTTTTACCAATTGAACCCAAGTGGCGTGAAATTGTCATGGCACTTACGTCAAATTTTTGGGTAAGTTCTCTAACCGTTGTTCGAGGATTTTCTTCAACAGCGAGTTTCAAATGGTCATTGTTAATGCTCATCTCTGACCTTCCACGAGGTTCATTTTCAAGGCTTTCATCTCTGGCTTCAAATTTCTGATACCATCGACGACCTGTACGTTCGTGATGATTTACTGCATCATTGCCAAATGCAGCGTTGATATTTCGAGCAGCTGTCGATGCATTTTTACCACTTTTCCACTCGTATAAGAAAAGAATGCGAAAATCACGAGCATTCATAATGGAAATCAAACAGTAAATTTCTTAGGTTACCGATAAACCAAAATCGGACACTTCATATGTTACAATCTAATACAAAAGGCACAGCATCTGAAACGAAAAAAATTTGCTGTTAAACCACCTTTGTCGATAGTACACAAACAACGTCGAATGGATTTTGCTCTTAATCGTCTACTGTGAAAGAAAAAATGGCGGAAAGTGCTTTTTACTGATGAAAAGAAAATGAATTTAGATGGACCTGATGGTTGGAGATATTATTTTCTCGATTTACGAAAAGAAGCAAGAATTTTAAGTCACCGTCAATGTGGTGGAGGATCTGTGTTGTTATGGGCAGGCATCGGATATAATGGGAAGACCGAAATTAAGTTCGTTGATGGCAGAATGAAAGCTACTGGTTATTTAAAACTAGTCCAAGAGCAGATTCAGAATCATGCTGAAAGAGTGGCTGGAGAAAATTTCATATTCCACCAGGACAATGCAGCTGCTCATACAGCTAAAGTTGTAACAAATTATTTTCAAGCTCAAAATATACCAATTCTACATACATTGGCAAACACGGTCTCCGGATCTCAATATTATAGAAAATATGTGGGGTCAGTTGAGTAGAAGAGTATACGAAGGTGGCAAACAATAGAATAGTCTTAATGATTTGATAGTAGCAATTCTGAAAGGTTGAGAAGCCTTAGATCAAAAGAATATAAAACATTTATTTAAAAGTCTACCGAAACGAATGATCGAAGTTGTTCAAAATAAAGGAGGCTCTACACATTATTAGTATTTCAAAATGTACAGTGGGTGTAGGAAGTATTCGTAAACCGATCAATTTCCAAAAAAACTATGTAAAATTGTAATTTATTAACTTGTCTTTTATAAACAATGACATTCTATATATTCTCGGAAATCTCTAGAATAAATAGATTACAAAAAAATAGCTTGTTATGTAAGTTGCGAAATTAACAAGTAAAAAACAATTAATCGATAGAAATATTGAAGCAATAAGTATTCGCGCAACTGTTTAATTTTTAAAACTTCATTAAAAAATAAGAAATGTACATTAATTTACAAGTATACAGGGTGTTCAAAAAAAAGCATTCAATATTTATATGGCGTATAGGGCACACTGTACTGAATAAAAAAGCTTTAGTAAACATAGGTCCAAAGATCAACCGTTTCTGAGATATAAACATGTTTGTTTGCTAGTATCATGATTGACTTACTACTGAGTTTTCGATATTTATAGAAGATTTTCCACGTGTCCAGCGCTCATTTCTGTACACGAAATTGAAAAAATGAAATTGACGAAATTGTCGGTACTTGACTGGAAACATTCAGAACGCAAATTATAAACACTGACATAAACATTGCATGCGATGGAAGCAAGTAAGTCAATCATGATACTAGCAAATAAAAATGTTTATATCTCAGAAACGGTTGACCTTTGGACCTATGTTTATTAAAGCTTTTTTACTCAGTACAGTGTGCCCTATACGCCATATAAATATTGAATGCTTTTTTTTTGAACACCTTGTATAATACTTCCTTCGTGGGATTTCTTTTTGATTTTATAATTATTGCAACTCTTCTAAGCATTAAATTAAATAAATTATTAGTTATTCGAAGTGGGATCTTCTTCAATTCCTCTATTAAAACCTTTTCTAAAAGTACTTTACTGGAAATTTGATGTTTTCTAATTCGTACGGAGCATCAACTAATGTGTTTACATTACAAACTCTACTATAAATGGTTCGTCATAAGAATCGTACAAATACTTATTGCTTCTATACTTTTACCCACTTTTCGCATTTCTTTTGTTAATTTCACAAATTATACTAATTAGTAAATGTTGTTTGGACTATATCTATCTTAGAGACTTCCGAGAATATGTAAAATATCATTGATTATAAAAAAAGAAGTTAATAAACTACAATTTCCCTCAAATTTTGGGGGGAAGTTGATCGGTGTACGAATACATTCTACACCCACTGTATATGTATACATTTTCAGGACTTTAGTACATTGTCTTTTTCTTTTAAGCAGTGTCTTATAATTATGTCCAATCGAAATTGTATTATTTTCAAATAAATTAGAAATGTTTTATCATTTTTTGCAAAATTTATGAAGTTGTTTTTAAAAAATAAACCATTTTCTTTTGACGAAGTATATTTTAATATAACTACATTATTAAGTACCAAAACCAATAATTTTCGGGGTGTCTTATAATTATGTCCACCAGTGTATACATTCTGATAGAGCATTTCAAAACAAATACAATGACCTATAGTTAAAGGTCATTCAAGGTTATACAGGCTGACCGTAATGGAAAATAAATTGTTTCAAGGCACTCTTCAAATATTTCATCAATTTTCTTATTTGCGTACTTACTGCTACAGCAAGTGTTCAAAAACAACAAAAAAATATACATGACGAATTGATTAACCTACTCCTTCTCGAAGTCGGTTAAAAATGATGACCTTGAACTTGAATGTATTTTCTATAAACGTGTTAATATAGAAGACACTGCACGATGAACTTGATTTGGATCAATGCAATCTCTTCTTGTTCGGTCCTTCATATCTTTTCTGGTTGTTCGTATTTCACTGTATACTTGCTATTTTTAACCGACTCCGAAAAGGAGGAGGTTACTCAATTCGACATGTTTTGTTTTGTTTTTTTTTTTTTTTTTTTAAATGTCTGTTCACCGATTACGTCGAGATGGCTCGATGAATCGGAGTGAAATCTCATGCATCTTGTCGAATATTTCTTCCAGTTGGTCGCGTAAAAGAAACATTTTGTGATTTGTCATTTTTTACCCGTTTTTTTTTTTTTAACAGAAACATTTTGTCTTGCTTCTTACTCCGAGACGGATGGACCACTCAGATTGAAACATCTTGCATCTGGAAGAGCATTTGCCATTTGGTCCCATAGCAAAACATTTGTCCTTGTCTTATTTTGTACCACTTTATATCACTTTTTATCGCAAAAAGCGTACTATTTCACGTATGTTTGGCCTGAAACCGATGAAATCGATGAAACCCCTTACATTTTGCTGCCGGAGAGGTTTTCGCAATGATCACAGATGCAAAAATTTATGAATTTCTGTATTGTTTATAACTATTGTTATCGCAAAATTCCTATTATATGATGTAACTCGGTGAGGAAATTACCGAGCGCGATGGAACCTTCCGCATTTCATGATACATGAATTCGTGATGTTCCCATCTGCAAAAATTTATGGACACTTTTATTGTTTATAAAACCATTGTTGATGCGAAATTGCTATGCTGTGGTGCAGCTCGACAAGGAATTTACCAAACGCAATCAATCCTTTCACATGTAGTTGCAGATGTATTCCTGATAATCCCATGTGCAATTATACAGGGTGTCCAAAAAATGTTGGATGTCCTTGAATGGAGTGTTTCGGGAGGGTGATTTGAAACAATTTTTTCTTAACGAAAATGTTGTTCGAGGCTTCGTTAAGGAGATATTGACAGAAACCCCAGACCAATCAGAGCGCGAGTATGCCGGTGGAGCGGCTGCAGTAGCATAGGCTCCGCAGGCGCTTCTCCGGCATACTCGCGCTCTGATTGGTCGGGAGTTTCTGTTTCTGGAATATCTCCTTAACGAAGCCTCGAACAACATTTTCGCTAAGGAAAAATTGTTCCAACCCCCCCCCCCCCCCGCGTGGAACAAGTCTTTTCAAGGACCTCTAACGTTTTTGGGTCATCCTGTATATTGGTCATAACTGTTGTTATTGCATGAAACCTATTGGTTATAGATTGCCACTAAAAAGAGTGAAATAAAATAATTTTTTGGAAAAAAAATTGAACCGACTTCAAAAAAGGTACAGTGAAAAGTATGAAATAATTTCTAGTTAATTTATACGAATACGCACTAGCCCTAGATATAATTGCCTAAAAGTATGGGAAAATGCAGTGAAAAGTGTGAAATAATTTCTATTTCAACTGCATTGTTATTCACCATTGTTTGATGAATTTGGTTAAAGTATTAAATACATCATATTAAATGCAATGCACCTTTTTCGGAGGCGGCGCAGATGTAAAAATTTTTTTATTCCGGTTTAGGTTAGCTTTTGGTAGAGGCGGCAATATTGAATGCTGTCAATGTATACATGTTTATTGTCTATGAGGAATTAATAGTTAATGTATATAGTATGTACACGGAAATATTGTGTGACTAGATTTGGGGCTTTTTTGGAGGGGAGTGGCGCCCATATTGATTTCTGCTAATGTATAAACTCTCCCCAAGAAATACTGTCTGAATAGGTTTGGGATAGTATTTGGTGGGGGCGGCGATATTGAATAGTGTTAATGAATATGTCTAAAGCGAATATAGTAATAGCAATAATTAATGTCATAAAATTTTTGTTCCTCGAACAGAAAGTTAAACCAAGTTTGATAATATTTAATTTTGGGGATAGCTGAGACGATGCTGAACTACGATTTTGTTTGCAAAAATTTCGAATGGTGTCGAATATTTACGGAGATTAGCCGGAACAAACAGACAAGCACTTCGATTTTATTTATATAGAAAGAAGAAGATAGATTCATATAGATAATGAAAATAAAATGACATAGGAGTATATAGTCACAGAATACAACAATATTTCCGTAGGTTTCCTGCATAATATAATGAAAATATATTGCTACACGTAATGCTAACGATTCAAGAAATTAAACCGAGCAAAATGCGTACAAACACTTCTTACTTCATGCGTTAAGTATAAGCTCCAGCCCCTCTCGCTGCGTGCACTCGGAGGAATTTCCGTTTGGTTGTAACTGTAATTAAAATTATCATACAATGCGCCTCCAGACTTTAAACAATTATCACACAGAGGTACGATTAACGAAGTACGTACTGTTACAAATATGTTAATTAACACTTCTATAAAAACCTGTTAGTCTTAAAAATTGCATAGTAAAACGGCGAAATTGGTTCTACCAAGCTGTGAATATATTCCCAGTAAAATCAACTTGGAAAAT